CTACTTATTAGCTGTGTGAGCTTGGGCACATTCTGCACATACATGTGGCTCAGTTTCCACACCTATGAAATGGAAATGATAACATACTTTCCTCATGGAGGTGCCATGAAAATGAAATGAGCTACTAAGTACAAATCATGGCGAGCAGTACCTGGAAAACAGAGCATTAAAAAAATTAGCTATTATAATTTATATTACTATCTGATTATTAATATCTAATTTTTTTTTAATCTGTCACCCAAGCTGCAGTGCAGTGGCGCAATCACGGCTCACTGCAGGATTGACCTTCAGGGCTCAAGCAATCTTCCTTTCAGCCTTCTGAGTAGCTGGAGGTGTAGGCATATATCACCACACCTGGCTAATTTTTTAATTTTTTACAGGGACGGGTCTTCTTATGCTGCCCAGGGTGGACCTGAACTCCTGGGCTCAAGTGATCCTCCTGCTTTGGCCTCCCAAAGTGCTGGTGTTACAGGTGTGAGCCACTTTGGCCAGAGAAATGCTAAGCACAGAAAAATCCCCTCTCCACCCAAAGAGAAGTCAACATACTTTATATAGCACAAAAAGCACAACTAAGAAATCAGAGTTTCAGTCTCCAGTATCAACTTAACCTTCTTGGGTATGTGTTTCCTTAACTATAAAAATAAGATTATTAGACTAGCTAGTCATTCAAGCTGCAATAGGCTAGGATTCTAGGGAAAATGCATAGTTACCATTAAAACCAGCAGCCCTTGCCCAGTCCTGGTTCCAACCTGGTTGCTTTTAAGGTTCTACTGTCCAGACACCTTACTCAGATTGAAAGCTGCCATTTCAGGACTTCAGGTTAAGAGCTGGTTGCTGCCTAGCAAGATGAGTATGGAAATGGCCTTGTGCCACCTAACCCTGGAGTTCTGAAGCACACAGAGTGAAATAAACTAGCAACAGCAATGATGTCAGCAGGCTGCAACTTTTCTGCTCCAGAGGACCCCTCTGCACCTTTAATGCCCCCTGCCTTGGTTTCTGGAATAAAAACACGGGCATCATTCCCATTTCCCCTACTATGGTACTGTGGTCTCCAGTACCTAGACAGCCCCATCTTATCTGTACAAAGTACCAGGTTGTATTTCAATGTGGATACCCATCTGAGCTCAACTTTGTTGACATGTATCAAATCCAGACCTTATCTGTTGAGTCTAGCACTGTCCCAGCAGAGAACGGGCTGGGGCTTCTGCACTGAGTGTATACTGCACATACCTCTGTGTAACCCAGTTTAGTATTTTAGATTTCTGGAATGTCACATGGCTGTGTTCATCTGCATTTTAATTGTGCCTTCATCCACCCATCCAGCCATCTGGCCAACCATCCAATATTTATTAACTTCCTCCTACATCAAGGTACTATACTAAGTTCTACTGGCACATTATTGAACAAAAACAGACATTCCCCCACTCATTCATTCAACACGTATTTTAGTAGAAGAAAAAGACAAACAAATTAATGAACAAGATCAGATAGTGGAAAGTACTATGAAGACAATTAAAAAGGTAAGGTTACAGAGTAATGATGATGTGAAGAAGGAGGGTCAGGTTGGGCCTCTCCTCAGAGGAGATACCTGAACTGAGACCTGAACGACAAGCAGCAGCTGGCCATGCAAAAAACCTGGTGCAGCGTGTTCTCCCAGTAGCAGAGAAAACAGCCAGTGCACAGATCCTACAGCCAGAAGCAGTTCATGACAAGGACAGGGAGACATGGCCAGTGTGCCTGGAGCAGAGTAACAGTGAGAGAGCCAGAGATTAGGTCAGAAAGGAAGGCAGGGCCAAGATGCTCCCTGGCTTTATTGGCCAAGATAAAGAGTTTGGATTTTATTTTCATTGCAGCAGGATATGATGGAAGAATTTTAAGCAGGAAGTGACATAATAAGGAATGATAAGTCCATCCATCTTCTTCGGATCACTGCAACAACTATAGTATATGCTTAGCAATATGTCAGTGAATTTCAACCAAATCCTACATTTTGTTGGCTTATAATTACATTAGAAATATTAAAGTACTGTAACAGAGTGGATGCTATAACAAAACCACCAAAAAAGGTCCCTGTTGGCCTGAGAGAAATGTTAAAGTGTAATTTAAGAAGTTAGAATATCATATATGCTAATGGTTTTAATTAACAAGATAAACCCTTCCTTTTGAGATTCAGCAGTGGTAACATCTCAAGCAGAAGCACCAAGTGAGTTCTAAAATGACAGTTTTACAGAAAAAGAAGCACTGCTCACAGTGACTCAGCCAGAAAAGTAAGAGAATTGGAAATGTAAAGATATCTTTAACAAGTGTCATTCTGTTATTTTAGATAGCTATTTTATATAGCTCTTGCCAATACAGCTCTTTAAAAAATGTGCATGAAAGTGAGTTTCCAATTAAAAAAATAAATCCTAAACACAGGCAAGATTAGAAGCCCCATTCCTTGTCATTATAATAAATGATGACGTGGGAGTTACAAAGATGAAAAAGCAGAGTATCTCTTTCTAATCCTGACAGACAGTTTCCCCATTTTCACTGATCCTTCATCTTGGAGTGAAGACCTGCATAGGGAAGATGATTCCTGGTACGTTCCTTATGAGAATACATCTTTCCAGGCGTGACAGCAGGGAACAAACTTTAGTAGACACTTTGTAAGATTCTCAAAATTTTCTATTTGTGAATCTGGGAAAGCATGTGTGTTTCTGACAATAATACTGAACAAATGGACTAAAGCCACATGAAGTACAATCACCAATAGAAAAGGGCATTGAGCAATTAACATTCAGACCACTCTAAGAGCTCCTCTAATTAAAGGTGCTAAGACCACACTATTGTTGCCAGTTGCAGGCCAGGCTTCATGCACCTGTGTTTCCATGAGACTGAGATGACATCCTTAAAGCGGGCAAGGCCTCCAGGGTCTCATGGGGAAGAAATATAAAATTAGTTTTCCTCTCAAACCTCCAATACTTGGTTTAGATTACTTTTTTACCTTTAATTTCTTTAAGAATGTGTTGAGGCTACGTTGTAATAAAATTACTCTCAAGTTAAATCATACATGGATGACTGTCCTATTTCCCCAATATGCCATAAAATCCTTGAAGTCAGAGTCATTTCTCTTGCTACACACTCACCCATGGCATGAAAATTTCAAATAGTACATGAAGGAAGGAGTGAAATAAAAAATTATTGTTTTTCAGCTTCACTCCTCAAAGATAACCACTGTTAAGTTTCTTGTCTCTTTCTCCATGAACGTTTGTGGGCCTATACAAACTTTTTGCATTATTCAATACCATGAGCAGAACTTAAAGAAATATGGATATATAGAATTTTAAATCATATCTAGTTTAAGGCAGTATACAAATATATAAATACAAACTACTGGAAAATAAGGAGAGGCTGTTGACATTCCCTTAGGGGATCTAACAACCTGCATCCACCTACCATTCACACCTGGCCACTGCCAGGACCTTAGTGGGCACTGCAGTTAGTGGCAAATGGAGTAACCCTGGCGAGTGAGTCCAGTTTGGTCTCTGACCCACTGAGTGTTCCCTAGCCAATTCACTCCATGCTCCAGGTGGCAATTTCCTCTCCTAAAAAACGAGAAGACGTTCTTTAAGGTCCCTTTGAGAGACCAGGATTGGAGTTGACCAACGGACAGTAAATACAAACAGCCATGCTAAGGCCAAAGACTGTACTCTATGAGTGCCTGAGGCCCAGAAAGAGGAATAACATCACAGAGAAAATCCATGTAACAGATTTCCAAGAGGAGAAGAATGTAAGTAAGATTGGATCAGTTATTTTCTCTCGATTTCTTGAGATAGGAAAATCCACATCTTGTTTTCCCACGTAACAGAGGTACCAAGCAATATGCAACGTTCCTGAAGTTTTCTTAGGATACAACAATCCTTCAGAAGTAGAAATAACCCATGTTTATTTATTTCTCAGCAATATACGTTGTATTCCCACCAGCATCAGAGAGCTCCTGAGTATTTTTCCATTGTCAAGAGTCACAGATAAGTCCAATTACATGTGGTAGTGATAAGGCCACTACTTAAGCCACGAGTTAACATCCTAATTCTCATTTGCCACCCCATTTGACAATTAGCTGACTGTGAGGGTGGTAGGAGGTCTCTTCATGCTCATCTTGCTGGCCAGTCTGTATTTGCAGCACTGAGTTAGACTATGGGAACAAATAAATATCCAGGGCAATAGGGAAGTGATAAGGGAGAAGGCTAAGGAGAGAGGGAAATGGCTCAGACAGTAGAACCCTGTTAAACAGACCAATCCTGTTAAACATCCACTTGGCAATCTGACTTCAGGCTAACAGCAGCAAAGCCACTCATAATGGTTTAGATTCCTGGGTCTCGTGCAAAGTTGGGAGAAAGGAGTTGGCATTCACAAGTATCTGCCGGATCTTCTTGACATTTCTCAGAGGCAAGATGGGAGCCGGAAGAACAAAGCCTGGAGTTATAGAGCTGTGGGTTCAGCTATGACTAGATAATTACCTAGTCAATTCTAAGCCTCTGTTTGTTCATTTATTTAAAAAGAGATAGACAAAGCCCAGGCATGGTGGCTCACGCCAGTAATCCCAACACTTTGGGAAGCTGAGGCAGGCCAACTGCCTGAGCTCAGAAGTTTGAGGCCAGCCTGGGCAACACAGTGAAAGCCTGTTTCTACAAAAAATTAGCCCGGTGTGGTGGCATGCACCTGTAGTCCCAGCTACTCGGGAGGCTGAGGCACAAGAGCCACTTCAACCTTGGAGATGAGGCTGCGGTCAGCCGAGATCGCACCACTTTACTCCAGCCTGGGCAACAGAGTGAGTCTCTGCCTCCAAAAAACAAACAAACAAAAAAACAGATGGACAAAGCAATACATGCATTATGCTTACTGTTATGATTTGAAACTGGGGAATTCCATGGGCTATCTCCTGTGAAACAGAGGGTCCTTGAAAAATACTTCCAAGTAAAACTGAGAAATCACAGCCTAGAAAAGAAGCCATTGCTCACCTGAAAGGAATTCATATGGCGAAGGGACAAAGGCAGATTGGCATTACTCTTCAATAATATCAAAAGCAGCTCCAAGCAGGTTGCAGAGGGCAGGGTTAGGGGGTGGACGCTGATGTCACTTTCCCACGAGCTGAGAAGTCTGGAACATAAGAATATATTAACTTTCAAAAATGCATTATCAAAATTATTTTAAAAATCTGATACAAAAGAAAACTTAATTGTGAGAGAAAAAGGCAAAGTACAAAAACTAGAAATAAACTATATTAAAAATTCACAGAGAACAAGCCCAAGACATTTTTATGGTGGTGTTGATATAAAGCAGATGGATCAGGCAATTTTTCAGGCCATCATTTCATACTCTAAAGTATACAGTCACAAATGCAGTCTTAGTTGTGTGGGACCTGCTGGGGGAAGGGGCGGCAGAGATTAACGGCTAACACACTGAATGCTTCCTACATTCTATGCCCTGTTCTACATGTAATATCTTGTATACCCCATAGAAACCTAAGAGAAGGAACTATTGTTATCCCCAATCTACAGCTATGAAAATTGTTTCTGGGCCGGATAGGCCCTTACGGAACATTTAGCTCAGTGATTTTCAAACTTTAAAAAAGTGACAGAATCCTTTTGTCAAAAAAAATCTTGTGACAGCCCCAACTTATAATACAAATGAAAGCGAAGCTGTTCTGTCTGAAGGGGAAAGGTTGGCAGGAGGCCTCCCTTCATCTTCCAGAGTGGCCCTTGAAGTATCTCTCCCATATCCTGCAGAACCTATTTGAAAATCCTTTCATTTGAGAGATCAGGAAACCAAGGGCTCGAGAAGTAAAGGGATGTGTCTGAGATGAGACAGATGTGTAGAAACCAATATGGCTGGCTCTAGAATCCTGGCTTCCTGGCTCCGCATCTAGTGCTTACGCTAAAGGGAAATGTCAAGAAGTGATTATGAAAAAATAAAGTAATGAGAACAGCATGAGCTTTAGGTTTTCAATTTTTCTATTTACTTATTTCCTGTCTGATCTGCAACCAAAGTGTCTCTTATCACTAATTTTAAAGAAATATGTATATAATTTATGTTTATTTATATAAATATATATGTATTTTTTGCCACTTCTATAAGCTTCTCTCTACAAAGCGATCTTTAACCAAATCAGTGGTGAATAATGGAAACTTAGAGAGAATCAGTGGTTCGGGGCATAATGGATTTTTAACACTTTAGAGAACAAGTCATGACAACTAGTTTTGATGTTTTATCAATCAGGTTACTTATTATGCTGATACATTTCTGACGTGGGGTGATGGAGTTCACTCTCCTTTGAAGCAGTGGCCAAGAAGTTGGAAGAGAATAAAACACTGGTCATATTCCTGAAAATGGTTGAATTTTGGTGTGGGGGAGTAAAAGATCACCTCCAACCCCCTTTCAGCTCTTGGTAGGCTCTTCAGTTGGATCTGGGAGCCAAACTGACACCAGGCAGATTAACAAGAGAAAAGTCTACAAATTTTATTAGTTTTACATGTATATGGGGATTTTACAAGTAAGTGAAGTCCAAAGAAGTGGCCAAACCAAGATGTTTTTATACTTTTAGGCACAGAGTGATAAATATGAGGAAAATGACAGGACAAAGAAAATCTGGCTAGAGGAAGTAAATTTTCCAGGGGAGTCACCAGAAATATATGGTGGGGGTATGTAAAGCAGATGGAAGGCAATGTAAATATGTTTATTCAGTTCCATTGCAGCCTCCAATTCCAACTCCAGTGATAATCGCTGTTTTGTCACCCTGGTATGGAGAGGGTGCCCCTCCCAGAGGAATCTTGATCGCTGCACACAGGAAAAGACATAGCTTACCCTTTCTTCTTCTTTTTTTAAGAATAGAAAATTTTAATCTTTACATATAACATCTCAAGATCCCTAATTGTTTTACAAGGTTCCCCCTCTCCCTCCAAAATCTGTATACTAAGTCTTGGCCTACATTGACCTGATCTATAAAATATTTTCCTCCGTGCACTTTTTCCTTTAGCCTTAGGCTCTTTGCTGATCCATTCACAACAGAAACAGCTCAGCTTTCCTCTGGGAGCACCAATTAGAAAGCCCACCAGCCAGCAAACCTAGAATGTACTCTCCACTGCTGGGTCACAAAACTTCATTCGCATCTGCTCTGTAACCCAAGGACTCTATAGCCTCTGAGGCATAACACCCAAGCCTTTCCTTGCAGAAGAGCTGAGATGCTAAAGAGACCATCTGCAGCATCATCATAAGCTCTTGGGATTTCTTGAGCTCCCACATGGCTTTCTTCAACCACCTGGCCCACTTTCTTCAACCACGTTCCGCTTTGGAATGCATGTCTTTAAGCACCAAGTGATCTTAAGAATTGGCTCTGTTTCTTTGAATCCAGAGATCCAAGTTTCTATTTCGGTGGGACCTCAAAAAAAAAAAAAACAACAAAAAACAAAAAAGGATTGGCACTGTTTCTAATGTAAGGCCTGCCTTTTACACACCAGTTTTGTGTTAGTGACTGCTGAATGCCAGTCCACACCCCTCAAACACCTCACAGTTGCAAACAGGGTTCTCCTACAGGTCCCAGAATCCTGATAGTGGAAGAAAGGCAGCTCCAGGAAGTCTTTATCTAGCCTTCATGATAGAAGTAGTTAATCCTCTGGGAAACAGATTTGCAGCCCTGGGAAGAAAAGAACTGTTCCTCCTTGGGGACATACACCATCATCTTGGCAATTTCATCCAGTGTCTCTTCTGTGTACTGGAACTCCTGGCTCAGAAAGGCATTCTGTGTATACAGCCTCATGAAATTCCAATTTCCCCAAAGTTTTCACCTCGAAATAATCAATATATCAATCTGACATATTTTGGGATGGCATGTCCTTCACCCTTTCATAGGCAAAGGCACATTTAAGTATGTCTTTTCTGTGTTTTAAAAATTATCTTATATTGATTGATTGGCTCTCCTATTCTTTTTGCTTTTCCTCATTATATACCATTCTCAACATTTCTCTGCAATGAAAATTAAAATATTGCTGTATTTTCCATAATTCAAACTTAGTACTAGAGCAGTGGCTCTAAGCTCACTCTCCACCCCTCCCTCATGCTCCCCATAATCCACTGTTGTCTTACATACACAGTTAACTGGGCCTAGAAGGCAGTTACCTTTGCTGGTGAATTTCTATTCATCCTACAAGATCCACTTACATATCATTTCCTTAGCGATATTGTCCTGTTTCCTTTATAAGAACTTGCCTAATAACCATACTTGTATCACTTACATACTAGTATATTTAAATACACTTCCATACTTATATCACTTACAAATGCCTTACAAGTGTTCTTATTTGGGATAGGTCTATGTCTCTAATTCTTTCCATATCAGAAACAAGTGATTTCCTCTAATTTTCTCATCTTATTTGAAAGTAAATATTAAAAAGTTGCCCAATGTTGCTTTTCTGCAGTTATAATCAGTTATTAACCTCTTACTGGCTAAAAGAAATACCTTTTTAATTTTTTTTCCTGACATTTGTATGTTCAATAAAACAACTCAAGTTTTCAGAATTTATACCCCTGACCCCAACTCCTGCCACCCACAATAGAGTTCACTTCAGCTACCTTCATTCTGAATTTTTTAAAAAAGTGTGGTGGAAAGGTTTTTGCTTTTTCTAAATTGAATATCTTGCCCTGGATTGTGAATGTTAGGTGGGAACTCATCAGTGAATCTCTAAGACCTACTCCAGACCCATAATGCTTTGGTCCTTCCTGAAATGAGGTAAACAGTGTAGCCTGGACCACGGCCTGCCAGAGTAGAAAGCATTTCAGACAGTCACTTTTTCATCATTTTCCATTCCTCTTTGGGCAGTCATATATTTGCAAGAGAAAGGAAAAGTGGTAAATAATGCAAATAAATATTTTGAAGTCATAGCTACTTAGTTAATTATGGGTATAACATGGTCGCCTTTAATTTTTACAAAATTACTTCAGTTGTGTAAGCCTAGGGCCTTAGGTTTCTTCTGACTATCATTTATCCTATGCCTAACATATCCAGACACCAGGTAAGGCACTTTAGTTATATTTGTTTCTCTAATCCTAAAGCAGCCCTGAAGCACAGGCATCATTCACCCCATTTTAAAGATAAGAAACCAAAGGTGAGAGAGGTTAAGTTATTGTCCAACATCAGGTAGTTAGTAAGTAGTGGGACTAGGATTCAGTCAGGTCAGCTTGAATGCAAAGCCTGTGCTATTCACACCACACCACACTGACTGCTGAGGACACTATATATGTTATTATCCTCTCCAGACAAACTATAAGTAGGACTTTAATTGCTGAATCTGCTAATGCCTATTTCTTCTGCAAGTATTTTCATCTTATTTTATTCTTTTTAAGATGCTAATTTATGTGTGTGCATGTGCGTGTGTGTTTACTTCAAAACTTGACTAGGAACGGTAGTAAGACAGACATTGAAAAACACTTATGTTAGAGTAAGCGAAAATAATAACCATGTGGTGAGAAAAATAGATTAGGAGGCAATACATTCATGGTTATTTCCATTACAAGGAAATAAAAATCTGACTTTTACATTTTTTCTTTACACTTTTAGTTTTCAAGTGTTATCTGTAAAATCGGAAACAAGTTAATCTTATGCTGTTGATGTGATTTCTGGTTCAGACAAAAGAAATTTTAAATGCTTCATAAAAGTTTCAACATGCTATTAAATGGCTATGGTACGACCTGTCAAAAAAACGACACTCAAACAGAAATAAAAACACATTTGCACCTCCTTATCACTCACCAGAGAGTGTCATGGACAAGGACTCTGGAGCCTAATTTCCTCACAGGACCTTGGAGTCAGGTACACAAACCTGTCCAATGTATCAAACTATCAAAATTTATACAAAAGGACATTGTTACACTAATGATAACCACAGTCACAAAAAAGATACAATTAGTTCTCATATTAGTTACCCTTATCTCGATGTAATTATAGACATTTGCATGGTATGTGAATCCAATATTGGCATTTTAAATTTAATCCTTAAAATATTCTATGATTTAACAATTTTTATTCTCATTGAAGTCCATAAAGGAAAAGAGTGTTATCTTGATCACAGAGTCAACATATGATAGGAAAAAAACCTCAAGTATGA